GAACTTTGAGCTTTGTAACTTTGCAGATCTTTTTTATGCTCAAACAGCAACATTACAGACTGACTAAAGTTGAAAAAGTGAAAAAGCATGATAGGACCCCTTTAATTACCTGTCTTGTGCAACCATTATGAAAATGGCACTGTGTAGGCCTACAACAAAGACCTGCATGTGCACTTCAAGAATACTTCTTTTATTGTAAGACTCTCTGGAATACTTTAGTCTGATTGGCTCCATAACATTCAGCAGCAATCAGGTTTTTTTCCTGAATAGTGACAGCTGACAACACTGTCAACCGAAGGCTCCTTCATACTTTGCTCTGCGGTCTCTAAGTAAGCTAATAAAATGATATAACCGATATAATCAATATTTCAGTGCGATTCTGCAACCCTCGCAAAATGGCGCCCACGCGCACAGGCAGACACACCAAAGCGCACTGCGCGTCGAGCAGCGATTGACATCCGTGCGATGATTTATCAAACACTTGGAACATCATTAAATGACACAGCACACACCATTGTGACCATGCAAAACCGTTTCTAATGCAATCACTGTTGAATTTCAATAGGCCATTTGCATTACAAATTTGAATGTTAAAATAATGAATTTCAATAGCCATCGAGTAAATAGATGTCTGGTTCGCCATGGGAGCAGAGGCTGTTATCTCCTCGCCTATATATTTTAAGAACCAAATGTGTCGTCTGCAAAGAGCTTGAAACGTGAAATAGCCTACATATACAAATGGCAATATGGCTCATAAGAAGGGCGACTGTCATCTGAGAACCCCCCTTTACTGATTTTTTCATGTAAAATGGATAAACATGGCACACAAAGGAAAATGCTTGCTTGTGCTGCTCTACAGAGATTCATTAGTTAATGCAACCATGTCTGTCTTCCTTTATTATAATCTGACATAACGAATGATCATCTCTCACCAGGCTCGTGGATCCCAGGGTTGTCGCTCATCTCCAGCACCAGAAGCTCTCGGCCCTCGTAACTCTCCCCCACCGTGTAGATGCGGGTGATGGAGGGGCACTGCAGCCACACGGACACCAGCGCTTTCCGCATCTCCTCGTATCGGTGGTACTCAAACGAGATTCCTCCTTCCCCCGCAGCATCCCCGCCCGAGGCCAGAGCCAGCATCAGCAAAGCCCCACAAAACACCGCCGCTGTCATCACTCCCGTCTCTCAAAGCACTCGATCCTTCTCTCTCTCTCCGCCTGTTTCTATTCTGTCGCTCTTGGCACCACTGTCAGTCTTTCTTTTCTTTCCTGTCTGCTTTTCCCTCTCTCGTTTTCTGTGTCGTGTCCCGTATAGAGCCGCAGAACTGATGCGCTGCTACCCCTGCAGGGGCGTGGCTTCAGTAATGACGACAGTGTTGCATAAAGTATCCAGATGAATTAAAAGACACTCTTATGGATATCGACTCAAGTAAAGTTAAAGTAGCTCATTAGAAAAATACATAAGTAAACGCATTACAGTAACTGCTATCAAAAGTGTCATGTAGATTTGATAAATAATGGCTAAGCTGATAGATAGCTGAGTGGTGGGTTGCTGTGTTAGGATATGTAATTAATAAACATTAAAAGGATTGCTCACCCAAAAAAATGAAAAACTGTCATCATCATTATTCACTCATCATCCTCGTGTCTGAACTTTTTCTTCTGCAGAACATAAATTGATTTTGTTGTTGATCTTGGTTAATGTTAATTATTGTTAAATCATGTTAATTAACTAGGCTATACCATTAATGAATATCTGACAATAATGTGTCTATACAGTCATAAACTCTGGTCCCACTTTATATTAGGTGTCTTTAAATACTATGCACTTAATAATAAAATAATGAATAGGTGCAATGTACCTATTGTGTTCATGTTACATTGCGATTGAGGTTGGATATGGGTAAGGTTAGGGACAGGTTTGGTGGTCTGGTTTGGTTTAAATGGTAGAGGTGGGGTCAACCATGTAATTATAGATTTAACTACAGAAATGAATTACAGATGTAATTACAGGATGGTATTTTCAAATATAAGTACAATGTTAAAATATGCATGTGTACAATAAGTGCATTGTATCAAATGATTAATTTAAAAGCACATGGTAGTTAAGGACACTTAATAAAGTGGGTCCTAAACCCCTACTTCAGTAATACATTTTATACTTGTGTTGTATATTAAAGTAAAATCCATTGTTTACACAAGGAAGTGATTATAATATAATTACGAGAGAAACTGGGATGCAATACCCAGCTAAACTTTTAATTAGGATTACAGACTATGAAAAAAATCATTTACTTCATGATAATGTCTTGAGTTATCATTATAGATACTTGACATCACAGAAACGTACAAAACAAAGAAATATATTATTAATATACATATAAGCTATAACTACATATATAATAAAAAGAGATTGTTTAATACCCCTCACAAAAAGTACTGTGGCAGTACCATAATGAAGTGATGTATCAGAGGGTAATACCACACACAGCATGATATGGAATTCATATACTGTGATATTCACGTGGTATGCTGGTTCATGTCCAAAACCCCATGGTGATACCATGGTATTTTTTCGTACTTTGTTGTTGTATGTGACATGTATAATGTAAAGTGTGAGGTGAGTCTCTTTTTGGAAACACAGTAATGAAAAACTTTGATTAGGATCTAAGGTGCCCCCTGCTGGCGACCCACCCACCTCGCAGGAGTTACCCCACGACCAGCTTCATGAGGTACCCTGGAGGTTCCTAGTGCTACACCCCAAGTACTAATCTAAACTAAATGCCAGTGGTCCCCATATAACCCCAGAATGAGCTTGAGAAGCCAGGAACCCATGTAACCAGCGCGCATTAATTAAGAGATATTCCGTATTTATTGCCAATGTTAGTCATACTGAGAAAAAGACAAAGAAAATAAAGAGGGCATTTTCCCTTGAGCTCTGAGTGTCTCTCACTTACTCAGACCTCTTTGCGAACCGGTTTGACAGATTCAAAGCAACTGAATTGATCAATTGGTCTCTGGAATCAAACAAAAACAAAGAAGTAGACCTATATACTAACAAATATATGCAACTACATAATGAAAGGAGTTTCTGTTTAATACCCCTCACAAACAAAGGGTGGATTCAAAAGAATTGAACTGAAGCAAAGGATCCTTTTTGTGATTTTGCAGTTGCCAATGTCATGAAAGGGTCTGGAGAGATGTATCGGTGTAAAAGTATACAGTGGTGTGAAAAAGTGTTGGCCCCCTTCCTGATTTCTTTTTTTTTTGCATGTTTGTCACACTTTAATGTTTCAGATCATCAAACAAATTTAAATAATAGTCAAAGATAACACAAGTAAACACAACATGCAGTTTTTAAATGAAGGTTTTTATTATTAAGGGAAAACAAAATCCAAAACTACATGGCCCTGTGTGAAAAAGTGTTTGCCCCCTAAACCTAATAACTGGTTGGGCCACCCTTAGCAGCAACAACTGCAATCAAGCGTTTGCGATAACTTGCAATGAGTCTGTTACAGTGCTGTGGAGGAATTTTGGTCCACTCATCTATGCAGAATTGTTGTAATTCAGCCACATTGGAGGGTTTTCGAGCATGAACCGCCTTTTTAAGGTCATGCCACAGCATCTCAATAGGATTCAGGTCAGGACTTTGACTAGGCCACTCCAAAGTCTTCATTTTGTTTTTCTTCAGCCATTCAGAGGTGGACTTGCTGGTGTATTTTTTTTGTTTAGTTTTTTTGTTTTGTTTTTGTTTTGACGTGACATGTGGCCAAGTATGGTGACCCATACTTGGAATTAGTGCAGGAAGGGGGCCAACACTTTTTCACACCACTGTACATTTCCTCTGTAGTAATAGAAGTCAACAAAAACATGCATACGAGTAATGTAGAAATTTCCAAAAACTGTATTTTAGCACAATAACATAGTACTTCATTACTGTACACCTCTGTGCATTTAGATAAAGGGAAGGCTGTCTACCCTTTCCATTGGATACTTCGCATACTGTAATATGTGACTATCTATCCACCCCATATGGTTATTTACATACAATAATACTTACACGCTATAGTATGCATTTCCAACCTCATGTGACGCATTAAAAATTGTAGTATGTATATTCTGTTCTGGGACTGTCTACCCTATATTGTGTACATGCTGTAATTTGACGTGTAGGATGATCAATGATAGGGAATGTGAACTGTGATGAAAACACATACATAAGTGTTTGGGAGCTCTCACAGTTTAAATAGAGCACAACTGCAGAGTTTTTTTTTTTTTTTTTCATTTTTTCCCCAAATCCTTTCCAAGGCATCTATATAATATATAGGTGGTCATTGTGGAAAGTTATAAAATCTTTAGCAAAAAATCAGGTAAGGCAACAAAGCAAAAAAAGCCATTACAAAAATAACAATTTAAAACATTGCATCTTTGTTTAGGTGAAAGTAAAGTGCGTTTGAAGAATAATGTCATTATTACTTGAAACAAATGAATGTTTATAATAAATGTGAGCACAGAACACAGGCTGAAATTCTTTCATTCCTAACAAACAGTCTATTGTTGTACCGTGAGCTGTGGGGTGTGTTTTCTCTTTTCAAAGGCACATTGCTGTAAGAAGCTGGCATTGATTCGAATCCAGTCAGTCTGATTTTAAATACTTTACAGTGAGCGAGTGCAGTGGAAGACAATGCAAAAGCATCAGACCAACCAAAGCCCACACAGGAGTCCATGAGAGACAGATTGTTCTGGGTGATGGTGAGGCATCGGTGTACACGAGTGAGTGTATCTCTGTCAATCAGTCGCTCTTCACAGCTTTATCTTGTGTGTAATGTTTCTTAAACTGCGAATCAGTGTTGAAAAGTCTGTCCCACCAGGTGAATGTGGATCCATAGTTGCCCACAAAATTCATGTGGTGGAAGTCATGGAAACGAGCTCCAGCGTAGAATGGAATCAAATGTAGGGGGTTCAGGGGAATGTCGTAACCACTGAAGAGAAGGCAAAAAAAGAGAATGGCAAAGAATGAAACACATACATATAAAGATAAATCAGGAAAAATATTTTATCAGGACATATTGTCCACACAAAACATAGTTTAATTCCTAAGAATAAAAATCTTAGAATTTTCATATGTGACCCTGGAGCACAAAAGCAGTCTTAAGTCGCTGGGGTATATTTGTAGCAATAGCCAAAAATACATTGTAAGGGTCAGAATTATTATTTTTCTTATGCCAAAAATCATTAGGATATCAAGTAAAGATCATGTTCCATGAAGATATTTTGTAAATTTCTAATCTAATTTATTTATTTTATTTTTGTTGAATTATTATTTACTTTTATTTTATTTATTTGAATTTATTTGTATTTATGCTATTATTTTTTATTTAATTTATTTTAATCTTATCTTAATCTTTTCAATTTATTTTTAACATTTTTTTTCCCCTAAAAGTGGAATGTTAATAGTGGTGTATTCAAACAAGATATCTTCTCTTGCTCTCATTTCCCCCACATTATTTAGTACCAGATACATGCATTATTCATCAAAATATATTTTATGTAAAAAAAAAGTTCACACATAAGTTACTTTCACATTGCAATATTGTCTTGTGCTTCACGCGAACACAGGGACTGGTTTTGTGGCCCAGGGTCACATATAGTCAAACTTGTGAATTAGAAGGTGGTGTCCATATATTTCTGGTCATGTAGTTTTATTGTGCACAGGCTTTTAAATGAATGCATTATCAATATAGTGCCCCCTAGTGTTGCAGTAAGTTATTATCAGCATGACTGTGTTGATATTGCCAGCTTTTTTAAAATTTAGTCTTAGTCCTGTCAAATTACCTTTTTAGTTTTTAGCATTTTGTTTAAGTCTGTGAATTTTAATCTAGTCAATGAAACTCACAATTTCACTGAAAATTGTAATCATGATTACATATCGTGATTGTTGTCATTTGAGACATTTCTTTTTACATTTTACATTTCTTTTTTACATTAATTCCTAATATTAATTCCAATAATTAGAAACGATGTTTCTGTTTTTCTATATGTAAACAACAACAAACAAGACTTGTTTTGCCACATTGAGGTTGCATATGAGCATTTATTCAGTGAGCACAATCACAAACAATACAGTCGAGATCCATGTTTGGTTTATTAAAGTTCATCGCTGAGAAGGTCTGACCACAAATTTAGTCGCAGCAAGGCAAACAGCACATTATTACACTTATTACACTTTCATTTGCGCATAGTTACAGTTAGTGGTTCACGATGTTGGCATCGTCTTTTTGTCGTCTCGTCTCATTTTTCAGCATAGTTTTCGTTAAGAAAAGTAAAACTACATCCACATAAATGCAGGGTGTGTACTGAGCTTACCTGTGAACATCAATGGTTTCAAGCAGCCGGAAAGTGACCCAGGCCCAGAGCAAAATCATATGATTGCAGATGACCATGATGCCAATGAAGAATCCAGCCCCCAGAATCACAGTCTCAGCAGGGTGGGCATATTCTGCCTGCATGCCAAATGGAGCCTAACATACACACAAACAAACAGATGATAGATCATATATCATTATTAGGATGAAAATTAAATAAAAAATTAGAATTTGCGAAGAAAAAAAAAAGACTGAAACTATAAATTACTAGTGGTGTAACAATACAGGTTTGGGTTCAGTACAGGTTACAATACAAAATACTTCTAAGACATATGATAAACAGTTAACAAAAGTACTGTTTATTAAAATGCAAAATTTGGTATTTTATCAGGGGTGGATTTGAATAGGCTTGGACTTTGTCCTTCTCCCTCATGCACAGGGCAATGGTGACACCAGTATAGATTTAAATTTGCTTGCAAATTTAAAAAGCTTTAAATATTGTGTTTTATTAACTAGTATTAAATAGTGTATTGTGATATATTGTGAATATTGTGCATAAATTACAATATAAAACGAACATAAAAAAATATTTAATAGTATAAATTCACTAAAATTTAATTATGATTGAACTATCTTGGCTATCTTATTGTTTCTCTGCATATTGTGTGTGTATTTGTGAGAGTGCGAGTAACTTACAGTGAAGTCATGATGGACTTTATGAATGTACTTGTAGATTCTGCGATGATGTAGGGCTCGGTGGAGGAAGTAATGCCATGTGTCCTCAATCACTGCACAACCAAAGCACTGGGCCAATATAAAAGACCTGAGATGGTGAAAGAGATTATAAAGAAAAATGAAAACAAGGCCCACTTGCTTTGGTTAAAGCGGAGAACAACCTCAGGCTCAACCTTGACTGCACTTTATAACCAGGTGTTCTCACCAGCGAGGCATGGAGTCCCAGTCATACGGGATGCTGAAGAACTCAGTGAAGTAATATGTCCCGCAGATGAGCGGTAGCTGGATACAGAAGTGATTAAACAGCAGCATCTTACAGCACTTCCACTGTTTCTCCCATGTCTCTGGTTTATCCTGCAAGCAGAATGACAAAACATATATAAGGAGTTAATAAAAACTTTTTTTTTCTATTTCTAACAACAACAACAAAAAGCTATAAATATTCAATTTAAAATAATAACAGATGAAAAAAATTCTTTGATTGCACATACCGGTTGGATCTTATACTTCTGCATGAAAGGGAGGAACTGGAAGATGAATCCAGGCAGACAGAACAGGAAATAGATCAGTTCATGGACGATGAGCGAGCCCCAGGTGGCGATCTGGAACTTGCTGTAGTTCTGCAGCATGTGATTCCATGCTTGCTTCAGAGGTTCCTGCAGCGGATTTCCTGGAAGAAATGAATCCACATATTCCACCGCCAGAAATGCCGAAGACAGAATGTCGGCTGTGCCGTTCACCTCCATGGCAGCTCCAAATGAGTAACTGTATTTAAACAAATGACATGAATAAAGATCAATGAGGCTCAGTTATCTCTCTCTCAGTGTGTGGCATGCCTGAAGGACAGGTAGTTCATACTGAACTGCATGCATCATATGAGGACAGTGTTATAAAGGAACACGAGTTACAGACAGACATGTTCATTCAGTCTTTTGTCACTAGTACAAGTCTTTCAAATCCTAAGTCAAAGTTTTCAAGTTGGGTTGAGTTTCAAACCAAGTGTTTTGTGACTTGAGTACGACTCCAATTTAAGTGAATTTATATACAGCTAAATTATGTAGATCTTTTCATAAAATTCTTCTTATTATTATTTGGAAAATTCAATTCGCATTTTAAAATTAACAAATAATTATGGTGAGATTTCACATTACATTTCAATAATTTTATATGTATAATATTTTTGTAGCCAGACAAAACAAAATCAGCTCGTCTGGTTGCATAACCATAAATAATCAAATACACAAATCCTTAAATATAACAATATAACTGGCTATTTTACAGTACGTGGGTAATATTATTCTGCAGCTCGAATTATTTAGGGCAGGTAAAAGAGCAAAACTATTTCTTAATCTAACATTTCTAAAAGAACATTACAACAACTATCTAAATGTCTGCATTTCTGCACGAACGCGTTGTTGACTCACCTGTGAGAAGCTCTTCTTCTACCTGCGCTGGCAGTACAGACGCTTTTAATGTTATAGAACTTCACATAGGCCGACCATTGGCCGAGACAAGAGGAGACGATGTGGGAGGGCAGAGGCTGAGCGCTGATTGGCTGTGGCAAGAAGGAGATTGACGTATGCGAGCAGAGACGGTGGCCTGATTGGCTGAGGGAATGAACTGACGATAGTGAGACGTTCAGTTTCCGCAGCAGCAGCCAATCAGAAACGCGCCTGTCTTTCATAATCTATAAACGTGCGCTGACTGGACTGAACCTCCTCTATTATTAAGTCAGGGGTTTTCAGTCTTTTAGATGCTACGGACCCCAAATGATCATCGTCGTGCCCCGAGCCGGGGCCCCCATTCTAAAATTTAGACATCTATATAGCTTATATATATATATATATAGCTTCTTGTATAAAGACCCAAATTAAGACAACGTAAAAAGTATATTATAAACGTCAAAAATATAATTTGGATAATGAAGTTTCTTTAAAATGTAAATTACGTTCCCCCCCCTAATCATTATAGTACTGTATTTATTTACTTATTTGTGTCCATTTTTTAAAATGTGAAAAATGTAAAAAATAAAAATATAATATAATATATATATATATATATATATTAGGGGTGTAACGGTTCGCAAAATTCACGGTACGGTTATTTCCCCCACATTATTTAGTACCAAATACATGCATTATTCATCAAAATATATTTTATGTAAAAAAAAAGTTCACACATAAGTTACTTTCACATTGCAATATTGTCTTGTGCTTCACGCGAACACAGACACTCTCCCACACAAACAAAAAAATGTTAATGCTAAGTGTATTTACTAGAAGCATGTTTATTATTAATGATATAAAACAAGTTATGAAACTTCAAGAACACAACATTCCTCTTGACTGACAATTAATAATACACTGTTGTATATATATTCATTAATAGTCTCGGTGACTGTAGTTAAAAAACTTAAATACTAAACAGCAAGAACAGAACAGAGAAAGTCATTAAAGTTACAGAAAACAAAGAAGGAAAAAAAAAAAAAAAGAGAGTGAAGAAGAAGAAGAGAACAAAAAGAGAAAAAATAAAAAGATTTATATAAGAAACAGTACCTTTATACTTCTTCAGTGTTCAATACCGCTAGTACAGAGAGCACGTCACGCTGGTTAGTGAGTACAGCAGTAGTTTAAGAATGGCACACAGACATCAGTATTTAGAACCATGCAGAGCGCTTTAATACCCAAGCAACCAGCGTCAGTCCACAGTATTGTGCATGCCGAAGCATTCGTGTTAACGTTTCAAATGTCAAAGATCGCAATTCTCGAACAACCGGACAAGAAAAAAGCCAGAGGATATTAAAAGAAGAAAAAAAACAACAACAACAGACGGTTCAAACTTTAAGACTTCAAATGTTATTTGGCAAACAAAGTTTGTTCATCTTCAATAGAGACACTTCTCGCATACAAGCAAGCAAAGTTTCAGCTCTGAAGTTTTGTCATCATCATCATCATCCAACCTTCATAATGAAGATGGTTCGAGTCCAGTGACTTCATAAACAACCTTCCAAGAGGCAACAAAGTGCTGGTCCTAAACTAGACACATTTTCCCCTCAAACTTTATTTGAATAAGCAAAAACCATCAAGAGGTTCCTTCAGATCAAAAGATCAAGCAGCAAAAATCGCTGGCCGTCCCCTCGGCTCAAACACAGGAACGTTTCGTTCACGTCACAGACGCGCTGGCCAAATATTTGCACCAGTCTTTTCTCAGAGTGTTTAGATTCTGCTTCATCAGTGCAATAAACGTCATCATTGACTACTCTCAAACAAGAGAAACAGAAAGAAAAGAGAGATAAAGAGTGTGTGAGTGTATATACTAGAGACAAAAAGAGGTAGTGTGTGAATGCTTGTAGTTACGTATCTGAATGAGTGTGTGAATGTGTGTGAGAGAGAGAGATACAGACACCGAGAGAGAGAGAGAGAGAGAGAGAGAGCCGTATTCTCCAGGCCATGTCCATGGTGAAGCAGTCCCAGGATGAAGCCTCAGCTGTGGTAAGAGCTTCAGTGTGAGCGAATCCTCTGCTGTGCGTCAGCTTCAGCTCCAGTGTTCAACATCTCCACGCAGCTGCTCAGAGAGGCTTATCAATGACAGTCACACCTACACACACACGCACACACACACACACACACACACACACACACAGCGCTCAATACAGTCATTCTACAAAGGCTTTGCTAAATTGATCTAAAATTATTTCAGATATTTATTTATATTAAATTAATTCATATTAATGTTTTCACATGTTTTTTTCTATCATCTAACATCAACAGTCACAAAAAATTCAAACAGAAATGATTTCTCATGCATTGTTGTAGATTTTGGAACTGACATAGCTTGTCAGAGGCTGATACAGATCAGTGCAAATTGGCCAAATATAAGCTTGGCTGATATTTGGGTCTATCACTATTCATTTACATGCAAAAGGATTGAACATTTGTGACTTTGAACACCAGGTCATTTGTGACACTAAACAACCACTAGATGGAGCTCTATTCCACTCTATGCTCTCTTTTGGACTCACGTATCTGTTAAAGGGGTCATATGATGCGATTTCATTTTTTCCTTTCTCTTTGGAGTGTTACATGCTCTTGGTGCATAAATCTAATTTCAGTTATTTAAATCATTTAATATTTCTGTATTCAAAATGTTACATTTAAAACATTAATCTCCACATGAATTTATGAATTTAATTGCACTCATGCCACTTCTGAGCCTCATTAAATGTCTGTAAATGTACCTACAAGCCACTTTAGTGTTCTTCTGTGCCACCTCCGTAGTATACATGAATTTATTAATACTAATTTCATATGATTGGTAACTTCTACTTCTTATTATATTGTTATAAATAGAAATTTTAAAAAGGTTATAAACATACATTTTTCAATTTGACATAGATGAAAATGATGCCATTATAAAGGTAAAAAGAAAATACTCCTGTAAGTCACTTTAAGGAGTCAAATGTCACCTCGTATTAGGAAGGCTAATTTTTGATCAGAATTTTTGATTATTGATCAGAAGGTGCTCCTAAATTTTTAAATTAGGAGGACAAGCACTCCTTACTAAAATTATACGCTAAAAATGAAACTAAATCTGCCAGCAGGTGGCAGCAAGTCACTGATTTTATCACTGAATCATTCATTCGATTGATTCGTTTGAACGGCTGAATCATTCAGGAATGAAGCATGTGACTGTCTTTATGAACTGACGGAAATACTTGAATCCCTGTATTTAGGTTAGTTGAATTGGTATTTGTACATAGAACATGAAGAATTGAATTGTATCGCCCCCTGTATATAACTGTTCATTTCTGTGTGTGTTTCTAAATAAATAAGTAAAGAGTTTTTTCTAAAAATGTCTCAATATTTGATAGTCAAATCAAATAATTAGGCAAATAATAATCTTGTTATTATCATCAAAAAACAAGACAGCATTTAAAATCACTTCATTCATTACCTTGGAAATAGAAGGTGAAGTAGAATACATTGCATTGTGGGACATGTGGTACATTTGGAAAGCATTGCAGGACATTTAGGTATTTTATTACATAACTGTTTAAAAGTTTGTGGTGAGTAGTTTTTTTTTTTAAGATAAGTCTCTTATGCTCACAAATACAAATCACTAACCCTACAGTAACAAGTCATATTGTGAAATATTACTACAACTAACTGTTACAATTAAAATAAAATTTGAATATATTTTAAAATGTTATTTATTCCTGTGATGGCGAATCTAAATTTTCAGCATCATCACTCCAGTCTTCAGTGTCACATGATCCTTCAGAAATCATTTTAATTAGCTGATTTGCTACTCAAAAAACATTTCTCATGATTATTGATATTGAAAACAGTTTTGCTGCTTAATTTTTTGTGGAAACCATAATTTCAGGATATATTTTCAGAATTCTTTGATGAATAGAAAGTTCAAAAGAACAGTATTTATATGAAACAGAAATCTTTAGCAACATTAGAAATACATTTACTATCAATTTTGATCAACTTAATGCATCCTTGCTGAATAGAAGTATTCATTTATTTCTTTAAAAACATACTGACTTCAAACTTTTGAACAAACACTGTGCACTGCTCATAGTACACAAAAAGCAAGCAGTAGTTTGCTTCTTTTCCTGACCTGCGTAGCTGCGTCCTGTGCTCATGCTGGTGGGCAGTAGGGTCCATTTATCAGTGTTTGGATTGTAGAACTCTGCTGAGGCCAGGTTGCATGAGCCATCATCGCCACCAACCACATATAACAGGTTATTCACGGCACACACACCTGAAACACAGACAAATTGATTGAAATATACTGTTAATCCAAAAGCATCACAGCTGTAATTTTTTGTGTCAGCTGACAGACTGATGCATGTTGGGCTGTTCAGCAAGGATTTGACCCACTCACCTGCGTTCCTGCGGCACATGTTCATATCAGCCACCTGTTTCCATGTGTTAGTGGCAGGGTCATAAACCTCACAGCTCTTTCTAACCAAGGGCCCGTCGTGCCCACCTACTGCATACAGCAGACATTTTAACACACCTACACCTGTCCAACACAAACACTTTGTGGTTTACACAGATACAGGTTCATGCCAGCATATGTGAAGGTATGCGTGGGATTGTGTATGAGTGTTACCTGCACCGCTACGGCGGATTCCCATCTCTGCTGTGTAGGACCATTCATTAGTGTTGGGTTTATAGACCTCAACAGTACTCAAACACTGACGTGTTGCTCCGTCATACCCTCCCACTGCATAAAGCAGACCTAAAAAACAGAGTTTGAAATCAGTTGAAATCAGCTGTTCGATATCAAACAAAATAAAAACATAAAAAATAATAAAATAAAAAAAATATATATATATGTTGCATGCATTGCACAAATCTAATTTTTTATATTTTATAATTTAAAAAGATTAAAAATGAATGAAAAAATATTAAGGTAACTTCAAAGCTATAATTATAAAGCTAAAGTTCATGTAATGTTTCATTATCAATCACAAATTAAAATATATTAAGTACAATTATATGTGTTAAACACAATATTAATAATGTACACCTAAAACTAACAGTTTGGGTTGGTAAGATTTTTTAAATATATTTTTTTAAATGCATTATGCTCACCAAAGATGCATTTATTTGATCAAAAATACAGTAAATCTGTAATATTGTGAAATATTATTACAATTTAAAATAAAGGTTTTCTATTTGAATATATTTTCAAATGTAATTTATTCCTGTGATCAAAGCTGATAAAATAAAAAAAAAATATATATATGTTGCATGCATTGCACAAATCTAATTTTTTATATTTTATAATTTAAAAAGATTAAAAATGAATGAAAAAATATTAAGGTAACTTCAAAGCTATAATTATAAAGCTAAAGTTCATGTAATGTTTCATTATCAATCACAAATTAAAATATATTAAGTACAATTATATGTGTTAAACACAATATTAATAATGTACACCTAAAACTAACAGTTTGGGTTGGTAAGATTTTTTAAATATATTTTTTTAAATGCATTATGCTCACCAAAGATGCATTTATTTGATCAAAAATACAGTAAATCTGTAATATTGTGAAATATTATTACAATTTAAAATAAAGGTTTTCTATTTGAATATATTTTCAAATGTAATTTATTCCTGTGATCAAAGCTGAATTTTCAGCATCATTACTCCAGTCTTCAGTGTCACATGATCCTTCAGAAATCATTCTAATATGCTGCTTTGGTGCTCAAGAAACATTTCTGATTATAAACAGTTGTGCTGCTTCATATTTTTGTGGAAACCGTGACACATTTTTCTTCAGGATTCTTTGAGAATAGAAAGTTTAAAAGAACAGCATTTTTTTTTTTCAATTATATAATTATCCTTATCATTTGAATAGCTTTACAATGTAAGCACTAAGCAGAATCAAAACAAAATATGCAAATACACTAATATGGCAATATTCTCGTTATTATAGGTATAATGCAATTTTGTACAATACATAATGGGGTCTCTTGTCTGATAAGGTTGAAGACCCCTTGTTTAGGCCCTTTTGTAACTCAGAATTCATCAGTATCAAAAGGCAAACAAAAGCAGAACAGTCATGTACGTCTATTGGCTGTGGCTGTTCATATACAGACTGCAATTGGCTTCTTGGCAGTCACTAACCTCCAACAACGCCGACTCCAACACTGCTGCGCCGCGTGTTCATGGGACTGACGTGGAACCACTCATTGGCCTTAGCGTTATATGCCTCTACAGTAGCTAAACCTGCAAACGAACATCACCATCATCGATGTGGGAATACAGTATATGTTCATCATCTCAATCTTCATAATAATGAGCACTGTAACCATAACCAGCATAACAGTTATGCACTTCTCCATGTAAACAGTAAACAAATGCTGCTGCAACATCGTGAAAGCATTTCTGATGCAAGATAAATGACTATATTGTGCATGTATTACCTGTGCTGCCATCAAAGCCCCCAACAGCATAAAGCAGTCCGTTGAGGACAGCGGACCCTAGAGTTGACCTCCGGTCCTGCATGCTGCTGACACAACACCACTCATCTTTTACTGGGTCGTACGTGTCCACCGTCCTCACTCGCAACGACCCATTAAAACCTCCGACAGCATAAACAACACCACCCATGTACACCACACCTACACATACATAAAACCATTGTGTCTTTCAAACTTATGATATTAAGAATCAAAAATCATCACATTTTTGCAACAGCTGTTGAGTAAACAAGTACATCTGTATTGGGGCAAGTTGTCACATGCCTTTTAAATGTTATGAACTTACATAATTTATTAACTACAAAACTGGTTCATTCATTATTTTGTATTTCATAACTGATTTCAATTTTTGCTGGAATGTCACGATAGGATGTTTAATATTTAATGGCGGGTTTCACTAGAACAACTTATCCCATATAATGTCACAATATACACTACTGTTTACAAGTTTGAGATGGGTAAGATCTTTTTTTAATGTTGTGAAGGCTGCATTTATTTGATCAAAAATACAGTAAAAACTGTAATACCGTGAAATATTATTACAATTTAAAATTTCCAATCTCTATGTTAATGTATTTTCAAATGTAATTTATTTCTGTGCTCAAAGCTGAATTTTCAGCATCATTACTCCAGTCTTCAGTGTCACATGATCCTTCTAATATACTGATTTGCTGCTCAAGAAACATTTCTGATTATTATCAATGTTGGAAACACTTAACATTTTTGTGGAAACTGAGCCTTTTTTTAATATCAGGACTCTCTGATCAACAGAAAATTTGTCCTTACGTGTCACTTTTGATCAATTTAATGCATTCTTGATAAATAAATGTTTTAATTGCTATTAAAAGCAAATCTCTTAACTTGACCCCAAACTTTCGAATGGTAGTGTATGTTGACACAAAATTGTGTTCAATAAACTGTATCCTTTTTGCAGGGACAATAAGTAGTCAAGACTTGCAGTATGTGCCTATACAAATTCGTGTTTTCTGTATAAAAATATTCATGATGCATAAAAAGTCTGTGTGGTACATATTCTACTTAAGCCTCTTTTGTGATGTAAAGATAATCTAGGGAAACCTAAACTTGAAGTTTCATTTTTATTTTTCACCCACATGCACCAGGTTGACCACCATGCCAATCATCTTGCAGTCACGTTTACAGTGACTGAACATAATTTTCAGCACCGGGGTTAATTAAACAGCGCCATGTTTTTAGCAGCATACACATCCCGACAGACTCCCCAGCAAATAGCATTTCATGCAGCCCAGAGTCTCCATCATTATTTTCAGTACACAGTTAATCAGTATCACCATGACAACCTTTAGAATCGAAGTAATTACAGTAAGCAGTCAAGTCAGTACTGGAGTGATGAAGTGAAGTTCTGACCTGGAGAGCTGCTGAATGTGAGATCAGGTGAGTCATTCTGGTGTCTGCACTGAATGCCAGTCATTGTCAGTGATATGAGCGTGCAGCTCACCTGCTCGACACCGTCTGGAGGGCAGTTCTGCCACTTGGAACCATCTCTCCTCCTCGAAATCATAGCACTCCACACTGCGGATGGCTTTAGGAGCCTGTCCCCCCACCACCATCATCACCTTCAACACACACACGGGAAAAAACTCAAAATCAAAAGCCTCTAATACTGGTTCGCAAAACTTTTTTAAAAATGCTGTCTTAATTATTTTGTTCATGCGTTTTAAAACATGTGACATAAAACATGATTTTTTTTTTTTTTTACTATAACATTTTTAATAAAAGTTTAAATATAATAACTGTAAAAATGTAATGTGTAAACATTGTGAAAATAATGTAGTATATAAAAATTCTTAAAATGTAAACAGTATAAATTCATAAACTGTATGCACTTTTGGGGGAGCTGTGTAATTTTAGTATTATTTATATGCTATTATACTTTTTTATTAATATTGTTATTAATATATTTAGTAATAATAATAATATTTTGTTTTTAATTTTTATTTTTTTTTTGCACCTTTAACACACACATGGGAAAAAACTCTAAATAAAAACCCTCTAGAACACTGGTTCTAAACATTTTTTTTAAATCTAATTTTAATTATTTTGTTAATGTGTTTTAAAACATGTGCCATGTTTATAGAAACATATTGTTTGCACTCATGAATTTTTAACTATAACATTTTTAATAAAAGTTTAAATATAATAACGCCGTCATGTCATAATAATGTCATGTGCAACCATCAAGTAAAACTAATGTAGCATATATAAATTCTTAAATTGCAAACCTTATAAATTCATAAACTATATGCCTTTTTTGGGGAGCTGTGTAATTTTAGTATCATTTATATGCTATTATACTTTTTATTAATATTTTGAATTAGTTTTTTGCTTTTTAATATAACAGTTTAAATAATATAACAGTTGCTGAAGAGGTGGATTAAAATAATAAATATTTAGATCTTTAGTTGTTTTGGCTTATTGTAAATAATTTAGGTCCCTGATCCCCTGTTGAGAAACACTGAACTAGAACTTTCACTACAGTCTCTTCAGGCAGATTTATTTAATAAATCTCTGTCAAAGAGATGTGTATAAGCATCTCTATCATTTAGAATATTTATCACTATTTTAACATTTATATGACATTTGTACAAATCATATTGATTTTATGGCATATGATATTAAACTGGTTAAAACCTAATAACATTTCAATTACCAGTCTTAATACGAAACATTTGACTAAAATCCACAAAGTCCACAAATCACATCAGAGTCATGGACTAGTGGTTGAGCCAAGATGCTCAGATATGACAAGAGTTTGAATCCAGCTTGCGTTATGTACAGAACACATTCCCTGACTTCTGCTCTTCACAGACAATATCAATGAAGATGTCCACAATTAAAAAAAAAAATAAAAAAAAGACCACAATCAAGACTGTCCAGACAAACCTTAGGGTAGCTGATGGGTGTTCTCACTCTGGTGCGGATGGTCTTCATCATGGAGCGCTGCTCGGCCGGCAGCAGGTGGTACTTCATGGCTTCAATTAGGTAGTCTTTACAGGCGCTGCTGTTCTTTACTAAAGTTTCCTCCTCCACCCTCTATGTACACACATGAAATTAAATTACAATTAAAGAACATCAAAGCACATGTTCACTAACGCGTATGCACACACACACACCTGTACGAGGTATTCTCTGGAAAGAAGGGGTAAGCGAACATGTTCCATCAGATGAGCCATGTGTTCCTGACGCACATCTGTGTCATGTGTGACCCACGCTATGACCGCTTCAAACACCTATAAACACACAGGGAGAGCTGATACACGTCTCATCTCTTATACCTGGGATTCAATCACAAATTATCAGCATGAGATACAGGTGTCAACAAGGTCCAAAACATTTTTAGATCTAATAACTGCAGTCACATACAGAGATAGTGTACATGTGACCACATCGCATTTGTAGCATAAATGCTAATACATCCTGGACAATATCAAAGCACCGCCCACTCATCTGTCAATCATCCACTGCAGTGCACTGACAAATGACTAGGCATCCACTAGGGCTGCACGATAAATCGAAATGGAATCGAAATCGCGATTCGACAGAAGCTGCGATTGTCATGCGTATCTTTCAGTGAAGCACGGTTCTGTGATCAGCAGTAAATCTCCATCCAAAGGCCAGAGGCGCTCTCGCGCTGAAACTCCAAATACGCCTCGCAGAAGAAACCCAGAAAATGCCTATCGCTGCAGCTGAATAAACAGAAGATTCAACTGCTTTCATTGATTCAACGTGACTAATAAACACACGACTACGGCAATATACGGTTTATCTGAGTTCTTATTATTATCATTTTCATTAAAATAAAGTATATTTATAATGCAATGCCTTTATCACTGCTTAAATACTATGAAATATGTTGCGTGCCTTATTCTGTGTAAGAAGCCACATCATCTCACAGAAGGATTTATTTCAAACACTCGACTGATGTTATGAAGTGAGTTTGGAGTAAAAATATGTTATTAAATGTGGTATTTTCACATGC